GAATTCCTTATTGCCAATGTCTAATACGGTTCGTGATAATGTTAAACCTTGCGATTTGTGGATCGTAATTGCCCAAGCAAGGCACAATGGGAAATTGTATATGAGAGCAAGTTCCTGATTTTCCTTCCCATGAATATCTAATTGGACGAATTGGTACCACTTCTGAATTATTTAACGTGTTCTTAGCAATATTAATGTAGGTAAGTTCATATATAATATCGACAATCGTACCCATTGCGCCGTTTACTAATCCGTAGTTGGTCCAAATATTGGAAGTTAACATTACTCGAGCTCCAATTGTTATAAATAAAACTGGTAATAAACATAACGTTCGTCACTCGGATTTGTTATTATTTTGACGTTTACGCCGATCTTGCCTTTTTATTGACTCATCGTTTCGGTAACTTAACCGTTCTTCGGGTGTCATAGAAGCCAATCTCTTTCTTCTAGCGTCATTTCTTGCAGTCTTTTGCTCAGGCGTATAAATTCTTTTTTTTTTGCACCGATACAATAAATTATTAATTCGCTTTTAATTAGCTTTGTTAATCATCTATTTTATATATATTACATTATCACATTTATTACTTTAATCGTCATTATATTATCATGTTTATTAGTATATTTATTTATCATATACTTTTAATTATTAATTTTATTTATCATGCTCATTAGTCTATTTTATTTATCATATATAATTATTAATGATCGAAATTCCGATTAAATTTTTACAGGGGATTTGATTGTTCAAAATCGATTTATATAATTACAGGGGTGGGAGCCTGACATTGTCTGAAATTAGTACAGTAAGGAAAGGTCTTCCACTCCGCTCCCCTCCACTCCAGCCCAATTATCATCTCAATATATACCTATATTATTACAATGGACTAACTCATTTTTCCAAACCATTACCACATAAATAAAATAAATTTAAGGATAATAAATTGCTTAGAATCAATTGTTTGAAATCTAAATTAAGTTATAATGGGATAAAGAAAAATGTATGAATATATATGAGTACAGAAAAAAGTTCTATGAATCTGGTTGATTTGGATCATATCCAAGAAAACGTAAGGTAGAATTCATTAAAGGATAAGTTTTACCTATCCCCCACTCGGGCGAAACATCTGACAGATCATTCACACCTTTAAACTGCACAACGATTTGCGGATGAATAGAATAGCTAGTGATTTCTCCGGCAGCAATAAGGTTAGGTATATCAATATCGACATGGTCTTCTGGTTTATCAATGTTAAGCTTTTCTAATAAATTTATGGCACCTTTAGCTGTAACTGCATAAGCGTGTAAACATTGAGCAAATCCCGATTTATGGAG